AAAACTCAAATGACGACAGCCGACGAGAATGCCACTGGATGTCGCTATGATCACATGATCACTGCTTACACCAGCCAATGGGAGTTGGATGCCACCAGCAAAGTAGCCTAAACGCTACTGCGACCGCCACCACAGTTTGACATGTAAATATCGAGAAGGCCGACCCGCTGTGAGCCCAAATATATTTTCAACAGATTTTGCGGTATTTATTGCTACACCGCCCGTAAGCCATTCCACTGCCAAAATTTGTAATCCTGTCCCATTCACATGGACAACTCCGTTCCACATAAAAATCCATGCATAATGCAAGCCATCCTTAATAACAAGACGGAAACAAACGCATTTAGCCAGTTTGTCCACAAAGATTTTATCGATACAGCGGGGCGTCCATATTAACGAAGTCCATCTTAACAAGACGTGGCTATTTGCACCATTTGATGCACTGGAACATGTTGCACAGTCTCGTGGTTACTGGAGAACCAGTTGCGGTCTCGATGCAGTTTTTTATTTTCTCACCAGGTGGCGAGCTGTTGGAAGCGATCCAACAAATGGTGGTGGCAGTCGTCAACTAGTGTCCTACTCGCGTGGACCGCCACAATGAAGACTGCATCAATTGCGCAGTTTGAGTGTGCCTGCTGCCCAATTCTTTGCAGCAAAACAGCGGTTTGTGGGAACTTCCCTGGAGGATTGCATTGTCAACCTTCGCAAAACCTCCCAGTGCATAGAGTGGGCACGTGCAGCTAGAGCATGCACCGAAATGCAACAAGCACATCTGGAGGCCAGGTGTTCGAAAGAGATGCCCTGCCGACCACACTTTGAGGGCGGCTCTAGCCGACAGCCGTCGTGCTGGCGCATGCGCACCACCGTCCGAGCAGACAAAACCCGCGGGTCCGGCAGTGATTCGGCACCGAAATGAAATCCAGAGCGGAAGCGAAAATGGAGCAAGAATCCTCGGAATTGTGCTCGAGAAAACACGCAGAGACAACGACGCCACGACGATGGCGAATTACGTCTGCGCCGAGCTGCTGTCGCTGTGACACACATTACGCGATAGCGTGAATGAACCCAGATTTTTTTGCATTACAGCGGGAGAGAGGGCTGCTGATGCTGCAACATCATCTGGTCATTGCTCCAAAAGCAACATTTCATCTCCGCACGTCTACAGGTGCTCGTCGGCGAGAATTGTTTTAGTTTTGCAGGCCCTCCCAAGCTGGGGCACAAATTCGGTATCGATAGAGCCCCTCATTTTCGGGTAAAACCCGATATTTCGCAATATTTACACCCCGAACATGTTACTTGAAAATCGAGATAAACCCAATTTTTCTCCGGATTCAGAAATTAAATTTCACTATTTTCCAAACTGCTCTGCTCCAAACCTCGCAAATTAACCTAAATTTTCTTGACTTCAATGAACTTCGGTGACATAGGTGGAGCCCCCAAATGTCGCTTTTACGCTTAAAGACCGACGACCAGTTCGCGCTTTCCACTTTTCCCTCGCTTCCTCCTCTCCCCCCTTCTACCCTGTCCACCGTTGCCTCTTTCCTCCTTTCCCAACGAGAGGAGGATCTTCTGCCTTGCAGAATCTTGGGTACGGTCGTCGGCCTTTAATGTGAAGCTTCTTCCCCTTTGTCTAACCCAGTGAAAAAAAAAAAAAAAAAGCGAACAAAGAAGCAACAAGGATTTATTAAAATTCTAAAAGCTCTAGTAGCTCTTACAGCATGTTCCAGCTTTACTACTTTATGACTCGATTGTGAAAAAAAAAAATATGTATTTAGATTGGTCAATGCCCTTTATTGTTAATTATATTTATATATGTATAAATACTATCTGATAAACCCGAATTCCCTAATAACCTTTTTAAAACCAGATTTGTTCCCTCAGATTTTGCAAAAAAATATGAAACACGAAAAATAAAGGCAGGGGGTTGCTATCCGTATCTGCTGCAAGACAAAAAATCCAAAAGAGGCAAAACTACGAGCATTGCCATGACAAAACCAAGGTCTAGCACAAAACCAATGAGCTCTGCAGGACGTGCGACGCACAGTACACGTTTCACCACTACGTGCAACCATGGCACAGCTGCCACAGAAGCAAACTTGCCAATGAACCAAACAAAACGACTGTACCGACTGGAGTTCTCCCACCTACAGAATTGATATCTGTAGCACTTTGTATATTCAGGATTTTCGAAATTTTATATCCTTTGACATTAGCTACGGAGGTTTCAATGCATTATTTTTTTTTTCTTCCCGTCTTCCTTCCGTCAATCTGAACTTCAGTTATTATATTTGCAAAACACTATTCCAGCTTTTGTTTTCTGTGAAAGTGCAGCTTATTGGCTGCATTCTTGACGTGCTATGTCACATGCTGAATAGTTATTCAAATAAAAATTGTGTTTAGCCTTCAAAGCTTCCAGAAAAAAAAAGTATCATTTGAAAAAGACAAACTAAAACAATTAATTTACTCCTCGCATTTTTTCAACTGGACAATTTACCTATATTGTAAGATACTACCGGATTATTATGGTTACCTCATAATGACAGAAATGATTGCTTTAAGACAAAAAGCCCAAGCTGCAAACAAGGAAAAGGGCAACACAGATGCGTGTAAAGTACACATATACGCTTTACATGTGTGGTATCCTTCTCTCGAGCGCAATATTGATTTTTTGTTTTGTTTGCTTAAAGGAGCGATGCAACAATTTTTGTACTTTGTGCAAATACCGCTTAAAACGGATCCCTGACATTAATGACCTATGAAACACGCGTTTGTTGTTCACCCCACGGAATAGAAGTCCCAGAAAAAAATTTAAGAAAAACGAGCAGCGTTCACCCCCTCAACTCGCAGCCAGAACAAGAGGCCACGTGATCTGGAGCCGATTATATGCCGCCAGTGTTGATCATAGCCACGCGCTGGGGTTGGCAAAGCGCAGGACACGCGCTGAGTTCCAGACATTGTTATGGCTCGGCTGTTGTCGTCATTGCAGCGATTGGACACGGGTCACAACCCGAATGCTTCTCGAGCTAGCAATTGTCACGAGCCCAAGTCGAGTGACCACGCAATGCTCGGGCCCAATCTATGAACCGCATTCAAATATCGTCACTTGGGTGTACTGCGATCCCCGAGTTACGTCATCAAATTTTGCAAAGGAGAGATTGAATGAAAATGATCGCTTTTGTCCTTGAAATTACACCGCAACAAAGGAGTTTCTTGGCCAATGGCGTTGCGTGTGAGTATCCTTGAGTCCCAGGTGTGCCAGTAAGCTCGTGTAGAGAGAAAAACATTCCAATTAAATATCGTTGCACAGCTCCTTTAAAGGACAATGGCTTGTTTAGAATGCTTGTATTTCATTTGCTATATCCTTTTGTTACTTCATCACATACTGAAGTCTGATGCAAACCCCCTGTCTATCAGCACCAGGATGATGCTCACTTGGATTCAATTACTTTTCAACTTGCTGCATGGTCGTTACTTTGTTCACGTTCACAAATCGTCCATATGTAAACCATAACTAGAACAAAGCACAACACACCCATCCTGCTTCATGGCTTTAGCAAGGAATTTCTCTGGAACTCTCATCATTAAATGTATCAAGGAATGCTGTAAATCATTCAAATCTGTTGTGCCATCTTGGTCACCTGTTGGTCCTTAGGGTGCCTTTTACTTTTCACGTGCATACCGAGCTGCTTTGGCCTCACGGCTGGCAGTATGCTCAAAATAAATAACATTGAACAGCCTTTAAAATGTGACGTCAGGAAGTGACGATGTTAACAAAGAATGTTTTGTAGTGGACACTACACGTCAAATCGCAGGTGATCCTTCGTTCCAGCGCAGGATATGAGTCCAGCACGAACGTAGGTTCGATGATAAACAGGCAAAGGTCGGCAAACCCGTCGGACGATTGCGTTTTGCCCGTAGATGGTATCTAACGCGAGATTATACACGTAAAAATAGATGGAAATAGCCACTTCAGAAACAAGACACGAAGGATTAAAAAAAAAAAAAAAAAAAATGAAAACCATCGAGGAGTCATCGGCGTCACGTAAACCGGGCAACCTTTTTTTTTTTTTTTCTTTTTTTTTGCTGGACCGAATTTGGGCCGGAGCCCACAGAGCTAGAGGGTACGCCGAACCCCGGCGATGGTGCAATCACGCAGTGGTGTAACCACCACGAAACCCAGAACAAAGAACCCCATATAAAAAAAATAAACATAATTCGAGACGGGATGGGCCGGTAAAACACAGAAAGATAACCGACCTATTGATTCGTCCACTCCTTCGCGTAGAAGCCGTTTATACTTTTATTTTTTAGTTTCTACCCAACGAGAGAGGACCGCCTTTTTAACGAGGGAAGCTACGCGAGCTCGCTTCGAAAGGAAAAAAAGAACGCACGTCTGCCTCCACACCCTGTGGGACTTATTTGGGGAGCTTGCTCGGACACCAAACCTCAGAAATAAACAAAAACAAGGCGCACAAAAAAGGGCTAGGTTGCTCTGAGGAGTGCGACTCGGTTGCGTTCCGTAGGGCTAAAACAACAAAGGGAAAAAAATGGTACTCATTATCCGCAGTCTCTTTTTTAAATCGCGGTTCGTCGCCTCGGGAAGAACCTAACGCGTTAAAATCCGCTTGCCGGAGACTCAACGCTATCCCGTCGACGTCGTTTTTGCGAGAAAAAAAAAGTGAAGTCTTTGCTTGGCGAACCAAGCGCTTTCATCACTACAAAGAAGGTAGACTCAGAATGGTGGAACAAAATTTTTTTTTTTGTTTTGCTTTCGGCAACAAAACGCTAGTTACGGACTAGATGCCTCTGAGAAGAGAGGAAAGAAGCGTTTTCGAGGTCCTTCGAAGATTTCGGAACTCGAAAACGCTTAGGGAAAAGGTTCAGGTTGGACGGAAGCGACCCGACAAAACGGGTCCCAAGGCATCAGCTGAACGGTGAGCAAGAGTAGCTCAGCGGGGGTTGTTTGAGGAGCAAAAGCGGGTCGAAGACCGCGGACTCACCCAGATAAATATCCCCGAAGGAACCGCTGCCGATTTTCCGTCCCAATCGGTACTTGTTACCGACTCGCAGCTCCATTTCGTGCGACGGTTAGGCGGCCGTTCGGTCCACAGAACGAATCGGGGGTACCCTGTCAATTTTTTTTTTTTTCTTTTTTTTCAACAAAAATACGCCGCCATCTTGGAGGATTCTGGGCGAATCTTGGACAATATCGTACTCTTCACAGTGCTTCACCTCGCAGTCGAAGGGCGTCCAGCGGCTCGGGACGTGTTGTTTGGCGTTACACAAGTATCGAAGTAGCTTTCCGCATAATTTTCATACTGTTGGAGTCGATTCGGACTGAGGATTCCTCGGATTTTTCAGAAACATCGCATCACTCTTTTCGCAACAAATCTTGTAGCGACCACTCTGCGCATGCGCCAGAAACTCCGCACAGCGAGTGAGCGAGTTCCCGGATGAATGTTGCCAGAGGCGGAAACGAAACCGAAACTGCCAAAACCTCGACACGAACGCCAAAAAAGGACGCTCGGAAGTTGAAACGTTTTACTCTGGACAAATAGTTTTTCTCACGTTAAGATTTATTTTACCCAAAAGCGGTTGACGTGTATTGTCTATAATCAAATAAACCTTAAGAATACCCGTTTTTTATGCGCTTTTCATCAAGAGGTGAGTCAGTAAATTGCAAAACCATTTTCCCAGAGCGCAGGAAGCAGACCGTGAGCACTCGTTCACTTTTCTGCCACACGAGCATCTGTAATCACACTGAGGGTTAACGCGTTTGTTCTTAATAACCTCTCGAAATATTGCGACCCTGACTGTTCTTATTCCGAAGCAGCGGCGGATTCAGAGGGAGGGGAGGGGTCCGGATGTCCTAATCCCCCTCTTGAATTCTGCATTGGTAAAAATTTAGGGCGTGAAAGAGAGGGATGGGGGGGGGGGGGGTTCTTAAACATTACATACACTGACCCCCCCCTGGAAATACCTGCGTCTGCTCCTGTTCCCAAGTGCTTGTGTCCCCTAAAAAATTACAGGGTTTTTCTCAATGCAAAAATAAACTATGCGGTCCAAGCCAAAGTTTCAGCACTATCTTTTTTTTTTTATATTTTTTTCGAAATATATATACGATTTTGTGGAATTTCCAATGGGAAAAAGGCGGCTTACAGAATTCAAATACATGTAGCTCTATGGCTGCAGTTAACGAAAACTAGCGAAAATGGGCCCAGTTTTTTTATTAAAATTTAAAAATAAAATCACTAATAACTTTTGAATAATGGTTAGTGCTACAACTTTGGCATTTGGTTCGGCTACATCTGGGCGGAGAATGAGAGTTCGGTGGAGCACAATTTATTTTTGCAGTAAGAAAAAAAAAAATACTAAATATTTTTGTGCCACGATGTATATTCATTGTTACACAAAGTAAATGATTAGTGGCAACGTTGACAAAGAAGCGTCAAATTAGTGTAGGCTTTGCTAGGAAAGTGAGCACCTAACAAATTCACTCATCAAGGGATTTACGATTCGTGGGCCTTGGGTTTTGAATTTCATTAACACGTGCTCAAAGTGCCAATCGACCTTTTGCTGAATTGCCCAAGCATCAAAGAGAACGCCGGGAACGTAGGTACATGCACTGCACGTGCCGGCGTCTGCAAGTGTAACTGTTAGAAAGCTAAAATCTAAAACAAATGGTACGTCGCACACGCGTTCCACACAAGTTTTATTTCGGTTATTTACTTTTAATCTTTTGCATAAGGAAGGCAAGAGCGTGCAGTGCACGTACCTATACTCCTAGCATTCTCTTTGATGCTTGGGTAATTTAGCGAAAGGTCTATTCAGAAAATCTTTAATTGAGAAGCCGCACAACACACATTCTGCAAGCGTATCTACCGAGGGCTCCTAAAGATCAGCAGTCAGCAATACTGACAACAGAAACATAGAAATGTGCAGATCATACCCATGAAAATCATTTTCAAAGAAAGGCTTTAGGTGTTGAAATTCCCGGACACCGAACTCTCGTAAATGTGCAAGACGTTCAAACTGCTCAAACTCGCGCCTTCTGTAAATCTAGATTTCTTTTTCCTCTAGCACTGAAAACATGCATCTCCGAGCGCGTGAAAAGGGCCAAAAGAGCATGTCTACCGAACACATTCCACAACCTTCAGCGCTGTTCCTTGCGTCACACTACCCGTCGTTGGCCGTTGTTTACTTCTGTGTGGCCAAACGACGGTAAACCTGCAAACGTTACTCCTAATTACATTTATTAATAGTGTTAATCCGGTTAAAGCATTAATGCACCCAAAATATACCTAAAACAAGCAGAAAAGAGCTTACAAGCACTTGTGCACTTCTACCGGTCCGACTATCTATCGTGCAATTGTTTATATTAAAATCTTTATTATTAATACTGTTACAACCAAAAATCAGCAAAGCAACAGCACTCAGTCCCCGCTTACTGGCAAGTAAGTGGCTGCATGTCTTAATGGTACGGATGGCTTGCCTTTCTGTGGAGCTGCGGCTCTTAGCTAAAATAAACATCCATATCAATAGGAATCTTTTTCTTTATTGATTATTTAAGTTGTAAATACATTCGAAGTGTGGCACGATTTAGAGGGGGGAGCAGGTTCAACTGGCAACGTCAAAGGTCATCGGCTCGCAGTCGAGCGTCCTCAGGTTGACCCAGACGCACGTGGAGGTCGTGCAGAAGGTCGGCACTGACACCAGACGAACCACTTGTCCCTCGCTCCCTGCGACGAAGCAGAAAGCAACAATAGCGCAAGGTCAGTGCTGCGTCTGTAGCACTGAGCTATAACCGTGCTGTACGCGTGAACAGGCCTTTAATGTATGTTCGGCACAAGGTGCCAATTCCTAATTATGAAGTTCAACAAGGAGGTAAGTTGGGCTAGTTTGTTGAACATCGTCAAACGTGAAAACAGCGCAAAAAATTTAACAAAGGACAAGTGAAAGAAGTGCACGGACAAAGCGCTGAAAGACACAAAAAATTATACAAACCAACAGGATTTCTACCACGTCATCACCCTCACACGTGCCTGCCATTCTCCCTGATAAAAAGGACCTCATCATCCCCCAAGTGCACCGACGGTGCGCTCACACATTCCCCTTCCCCTTTAGATAAAATGAAAAATGCCTCTTCAATCTCTCTGGCGGTCTTACTTTTATTACGCGCCAAGATCGTCAAGTCATGAATACAGGTACGCAGCCGCACCTACTGCAATGTACCGCTAAGTGGCCAGTGGGGGAGGAATGGAGAGAAAGGGAATGCTCCCTCGCCCTCAAGTTCACGCACCTCCCCGTTTGTCCAATGTACTTTCTACCACATGTGAAGGGGATCTGATACACAACCCCTACTGCGCATGGTACAAAAGGAGTGCGGTGGTTGACATCACATTGCAAATCACTGTTCCTCCCTCAGTTGACAGCAGTGCACAGACGTGACAGCTTCTGGGGTGCTGAAAACACCACTGGCACGTTAAACTTATGCGCCACTTGCTTGACCTCACGAGAGAGGGCGTGGACATAAGGCACCACCACCGGTCTTGTTGTCGGTTTTTGTCCAATCTTAGGACTGAACACCTTTATGAGGGACTCTGCCACGCCCACTATCAACGTAAGCGAGTATCCCGCCGATCTCAGCCTAGATACCTGAAACAAAAGACTGTTCTCACACCTATGATGGCATGACCTCAGCAGAGAAGCCCCCATAGACCCCGTAGTAACTGCCCTCTTCACAAGCTTAGAGTGCGCTGAACCGAATGGAAGAACACCCTTCTTTGAACGTGGCTCATAGGACCAACATATATGCGACGGCTACTTAGTTAGCCTCAGGTCCAAAAACTGTAGTGCTCCTGCTGATGGTGTCTCAAACTTAAAGGATAAACCGGGAGAGCACTTCGTAAAGCAGGCCAAGAAATCTAGACACACGCCTTGACGGCTCAGGCTCTGGTTGTCATTGTACAGCACTAGGTAGTTGTCCACATACCGAAACATTCTCAAAACCCGACACTCAAAGACATTGCAATAGACCTGTCACACCTCGCCAGATATATATCACAGAGGACTGGTGCCAAACTCGATCCGATACAGATCCCACTCTTTTGCAAGTAAATTCCTCTTTCAAATGTGACATATGTGGAGCTCAAGTAAAAACTCAATAATTCCAGAAAGGAATCCACTGCAACACCCGTCGAGTTCATGAAGGCCACCAAGCCACTTGCCTCTATGCACTCTCCAACAGCGCTTTGTCCGTGCACTTCTTTCGCTTGTCCTTTGTTAAATTTTTTGCACTGTTTTCACGTTTTCCTAATTATGTGCCGGTTCCGGCCTTGAAACTGGCATAGATGCAACATGCCGACTTACGGCTTTGAGTCAAATTTCTAGAACAGTCATAGAAAATGCACACTTTTTTAAAATCGTATCCTTCGTTCGTGTCTTTCACAACGTTAAAAACTTGGCTACTTCCACCCCCTAAGTACATCTCTGCACAGGTTTGTATGCATCGAGCAGCAAGTTGGCAAGTTACCAACTCATGTGGTTCACAGACACGACAAAAGCCAATCAAACAAATCAGCGTGCACATTGCCAGCCAATCTGTACGATTTGTACAAGGCACGACACTGTTAACGTCAACGGGCGATCGTCAGTTTTCCTAATAAAATTGGATGGCTGTCACCAGAATTACTATTGTGTTGAAGAGCTCTAATTGAGTACTAGTCTAAGATGTAAAATTTTGGTGGCTGCCGCTAACAAAGCAAATGTGATAGAAAAGGAGTTCACAGTCACACCTCAATCTTTTTGGACAAAGAGGAAGTGGATTTTGTTGACACGTGCGAAAGCTGACATCACCTTTGACAGTTCATTTGGCCCTTTGTGGGTCGTTTGCTCGAGCCGTTATTTCAATAAAAGTTCAGTTGTAAGTAAAAGCAGCGCTCGTCTTTTCCTTTTCTCTATGTTTTCGTCCTTCTGTGTGTTGTATTTACCTTCCCTACCCACCAATAAACCTTCAACATAAAATGTGAAAAACAAAAAATGCTGACATCATGCTGGCACCAAGTTTCTCTCAGAGTGTATGCAGAAAAAGTATGGATGGGAAGTGATTTGATCACGCTGACAAAGACGGGGGAGTGCATTCACCGCAAACTACCACCGCACAGAAATCGATGTCGCGAGACTCAAGGCAACGCGGCGTCGTCATGTCAATTTTTTCGCTAAATTTGCCAGAGAAGTTGACTTCACGTGGTGTCAATTTCCCCGCTAATTTTAGTGGGGAAATCGATGTCCAGAGACTCGAGTTCACATGACGTTATGAATAGACTACTTCAATAAATCCCTGCATGCAACACGGCGCGCGTTGCACTCTGGGAACTAGTTGGCCAGGGAGGAGAGTGGCATGGTTTCGGTTTCGATCGACACATCGACAAGATATACACTGTGGTTCTCCCTTGGGCAACAGCCTTTGGGAGTACCACGTTCGCGGTGAGACGCTCTACCGCGAAGCGGGTTCGTACTCGCGTGGCATGCTGCTCGTTGAGCGCAAACAGATACCAGTCACGTTGGTCACGGTGATAAACTCTGTTTATTTACAATACAAAACAAATAACAAGAAAACAGCGGCTATAAGCTGGTGAACGCCGTCGGAGTGGAGATCGCCCACGGCCAATTGGTCATTCACAAAGATACAAAGGACGGGGTAAACGCTCACCGGTGCCCCGGACGGTTCCCCGTTGTCGCTGCCCAAAATCCCAGTAAGAGAGCGAGATCCTGGTGTCTGCTGGTTTTAAGAACCCGCGGGGGCGAAAGGGGCCAATCAAGGAGCGACACGTCAATCTCCTTTTTGCGGGGGTTCGTAACAAAAATCGCCCCAAAGGGGGAGAGGAGGAAGCCCCTCACAGTGGTAAGCAGCGCCACCTCTCGCTACGTCAGCGCGGCCGCCACGGCGCGCCAAAACGCTGACGCGACAGAATGTTGAGAGATCACAATGCCCACAACACAGAGTGTTTTCTGGTCCTGAGAGCGTCATTTGTGGTCTCTAAACTAACCTATATGGCCAGACCTCGAAGCTTTAGCACAAGCCCGAGACGCATAAAAGCTTGTTGTATTTTTGTACTTGAGCCTTTCAGTCGGCGTTTCGAGTTATGTAGACGAGCCAGTACTGGAAATCTCGACGCTGCAAAGCTCGGGGATCTTGCTTGTGTACGAATCAGCAAGCTGTATCAACCAATAAGTATGCATACATCGAGCTCGCGCCTTTACATTACTGTTGTTGATCAGGAAGTTTGTTTTGTGCGTCCACAGACGAAATATAACTTTTTGCAACTAATGTTTTTCTTAAAGGGACACCGACAGGGTATTTATGCTCGCCGAGGTTTTTAGTTGTACATGACATATGAGAGCCCAACTACCCAGAACACAATTTGCGGCTCGAAATTCGAATTCTTTGCACCAGAAAACCGCCGATCAAGAACTGGCCAGTTCGAGTCTTGCTCACTCTCTTTTCCGTGGTCACGGGTAGTTTTCTAAGGTTTCGACGCGACCACCAAATTTAATAAAAGTCGTTGGTCACTGAAGGCACACACTCAATATTAAAAATAGAAAAAATAATATGAAACCCATTTTTTGTGGCTTCTAAAAAGCTGCAAATACGTTAATTGAAAAAAAAAAAGTTCCACAGAGAACCGGAAGGATTCTGTGCGTGCGTCGTTTCGCAAATCGTGGGACTCATGGGGACGGCGATGGCAGGGACAACGGGCGTGGGACCTCTACTTCAGAACTGTCGCTCGCAGTACCGGCGAATTCTGTCTGCCTTTAAAAGAGAAATTTGGGACTGATCAAAAGAATTGGTATTCATCCCGTACGACACGCCCGACCGCCAAGCTGATTTGCACGAAGACGTCGCCGAGCCGTCGCTCCCTTCTTGTGGCTGAAGACATCGCTCGCGCAAACGTCAAGCACGAAGTGTGTACTTCGAGTTGAATATGCTTGCGTACGATTTCTTTACTAGGTGCGAATGTCGCCAATGCGTGGTGCTTCCCGACTTCGATTTGGGAGTGCTTTTGCTGGAGGAAAATCGGCAGCAAACTTTCCAACTTACAGTTTACCGGCTGCATTATTACTGAGGAGAGAGTTCCTCTAGTAGCTCAGTGGAAAGACGTCCGCTTCACACGCGGCAGGACCGGGCTTGATCCCCAGTGACATACTTTTTTTTTTCAAACATTTTGCGTTGTTTACATTTTTTTTTTTACAATCGTCACTGAAGAAACAAACAAAAAAATAACAAACAAATGTTGTGGACGAAACGTCGCTGAACTAAATGGTATGGGATTTCCTTTTCGACACCTGCGAACTCAATGTAATCACTTTCCACAAGATACAAGGAGCATATAAATCGGGTAGCGTCCGCTTTCCGAGGTGCCCGTAAATGTTCTACAGGAATTGCAGCCAGCCATTGGTCCCGATCCCGTTGATCTTTTGGAAACTCTGTCGCACAATGCCACTTTGTTTCGAACGCATGACATGTGAGCCAGCTCTTCACGCAACATCTTGGGTGTATTCTTTTCGGAGCCGATCACGGAAATTCACCACAGGCACTCACTACTCATCTCCAACTCCTCGATGTACAAAACAACTCATCTTGAAGTACAGAACAGCGAGCGGAACAGACATAGGTAACTGCTAAAGAATCGCATGGCAGACAGTTCCCGCTACGCCGCCACGCATGTTGTCTGCTACGCAGAGGAAAGAAAAAAAAGTGCACGGTCGGCTGTAGCCACGTGACTTCCACCACTCACACTCTCCTCTCCACTCCTCCGACCTCCGTGCGCAGGTTTCACTTCCGGTTTCGAGCAGTTGTGTCTTTCGGCTTTATTAAAAATATACGCTACTCTGTTGCAAAATATTAATTGGGTAGTCCCCCGACACCATAATGAAGCGCCTGGCAAAATATGAAAAATTGTTTTAGGGGTTGTCAGTGTCTCTTTAATACACCTGAGTACGCGAGGTAAAACTCAGAGGCGCCATTGAAAAGCTCCATTTGACCGCACTTCTCATCTCTTATCTGTACTGCCCCGCAGCACTCTACGAAGTGAAGTCCCCACCCGCTTGCATTCCACTAATATTCAATATCGCGTATGCGCGCATAAAGTTATCCTGCAATCATATAGGCATTCGCACATACAAACCGTTTTAAGAAAGCAAAAGTCGAGTACTTGTGTGAAGAATGTCGCACCATTTGCCGGGAGTGTGCCGGACGGGCATGAACTCCTATGCAGTGCACCAAACCAACAAAATTATTCAAAGCACATGTGACGGTTGCTAATGGCCATAATATTTGTTATGTGTTTGCTTTCGTCCTGACTGAGTATGCCGAGATAATTTCAGACACACCGTTCAGGCACAGACCTTGAGCGTCAGGAAAAGCTCGTCCAAAAAGGCTTAGTGAGGAGTAGGGGACGCTCGTTAGGGCCTCCAACGTAGCAAGCCGATCTCTGCGTTTGTGAAAACTTAATCGTTTATCAGCATAAAATTTGAGTGTGAGATATATGATGACACGAGGAAGACATCATAGTAACGTTCGTGCAGTAGTGAGGTCGAATTTATTGCGTTTCCTTAAAAGTTCATGCGCCAACGCTGGGCTCAACTTTGATGATCCTGTGAAGATGCGGCTTGCTTTTCGCCCAATGAAGTAACAAGAGGCGGACGTTAAGCAAACAAAATACGAGTAGGGCTCACGGTGACAAAGTTTCAGTTGTAGTTTACTGGTACTAGACGGGATTACTGACACTGAGCTCAAAGATGCAGTCGTGGGGTGAGGTGACCAAGTCACGTCTTACTACGTTTGCATACGCACGCACAATATCCGGTGTTTTGGGAGCTAAGGAAAGTGCCCCAGTCTTCCTTTTGCATCGCTCGAGAATGAGGGTATTGTACATTCGTAAAAAGTCAGATAATCGAAAACGCAAGCAGCACGTTCAGTCGCGGCGTGATAGCATGAGATGAAGCTGCTCGGTCGAAACGGAAACTGAGTGGCCAACTAGTTCCCAGAGTGCACTGCGTGGTATTTCGCTGCGATGGAGCACGTCGGTTTTGGAAGAAGTCTATTAGCCATGTGACGTCGATTTCACCGCTCAATATAACGGAACATTGAGAATCCCGTGGCAATATTTTCCTCGCTAAATTTAGTAAGGAAACCGAAGCGACGGTTTTCTGCGAAGGTTTTCTCGTGGAGTACACTTTTAGCTAAATTACCCAAGATCCGAGGAATGTACACGAGCGTAGTTACACAAGCTGGGCGTGCTGCCTGCTGCAGCATTAAGTGTTCTCCAGCCAAAAAATATATCCAAAACAAAACATATACCACTTTGCATGCACATTCATCGTCACCTTATTTTGGTTATTCACTTCGAATCCTTTAAGCAGACGAGGTGAGCGCGTGCATACCTACATTCCCAGCCTCTTTCTCGACGCTCATATAATAATTTGGCAAAAAGACTATCCGACCGACAGAACACATTTCACAATAAAAAAAAAAAAAGAAAGTCTCATCCAACAAGACACGACACAACCTCCGAGACTTAGCTCGAACCGCGCGGGAGCTCCGGGTACTCGACAACACGCGAAAAAAAATCAGCGCCCGCGCGACACCGACGGATGCATACCTTTGAACATCCTGGTGGCATAGCTGTCCTGGTTCCCGACAAAGTAGAGGTGCGGACAGGCGTCGACGATGAACGGGTCCTTGTCTAGGAAGGGGTAGCATGCTGCGGGAAAGCAACAGTTCACCACAGTCACTCACCAAGAGAAAACGCGGCGCGCGTCTTTCGAACACCCGGCCTCAAGCACGCGCCCAATTGCATTCGGCCGTGCCTTTGCTGGGTGCGCCAACAAAAAAATAATAGAATGGAAGAAATTCTTTACGACCACCGAAATCCTAGGAATACGCTGGCATAAACGACGCTTGAACTCCTAGTAGCAGAAAGTGAGAAAACACAAGCGATTCCTGTAATATCCAATGCCACGTTCCTGGCGCTTGTCGTCTGGCTTTAGTTCAATGCTTCTCTTGTCAACAGTGACGTGATTAGTCCGAGTCATTTTGGAGCACCTCTTGACGCAGTCAGAATTCACTTTTGGAGCATGTGCTTTTCATTTTCATTCAAACCACTGGAAATATTATGTTAAGGTTAATATGTCGGCCTGTCTAACTAAAAGGAAATGTCTACTTTGCCTTTTCATTTACGTGCAACCCTTCGTTAGCATTGACCGAACAGCAGGAGCGATTCCCTCAAACACAGAACAAGCGTTTAGAGGCGCGGAGAAGCACCAGATACGGCAACAAGAAGATGACCGATGAAAGACAGCACAAACTGCTGTGAACGGTTAATTTACATACTGAATCCCACTGAAATAAGGTTAGAATACAATAGATTTGAGCACCTAAATTAAGGTTTCGTTCAAGTTCTATAGACCAACACGCCGCTTTGACGTCACAATCCTGCGGTGGCGCTGTTGTCGCCACGGCGCATGCGCAGGGGCTTCACCTCTCGCGAATCTGGTTTCTGCGCTTGCGCAGTGCCCACACCTGGTGTGGGCAAATGCGGAGTTGTTTGTAAGCAGCGTGTCGGTCTATAGGTCACAATAAAACTGCAATTTATAATTCAGAGAACAACAGAGCTCTTGATGTTTGATTATGAACGTCAATTACATTTTATATGTAGAACTTCATAACAAAAATTGGTATGTGAACGATTAATATACCTTCTTAAAAACAATCCCGCCGAACTTGTTAAGGTTCTTCCCAAACTTCCATCCATTGCTCCTACCAATTCAGTTCTAATTTCTTCACACCTGTGTTCATTTGAGGCAATAAACAAAAGTTCTAAAAACTCGTAAAAGGTTATTGTAACGATCTGGCCGGGTAGCGAAGTTCAAGCTCATATATGGGGTGACTGAAATAACCAGGTTCTACCTAAACCGGGCCATAAAAATCGGCACCTGCATGTAGTAATCAAAACTTTTCGTCAAACGTGTATTTTGCAGGTCAGTTTTTTTCATGTAAAATTACAAAGCATAGTTCCCTTTCTTTAAAACATAGGGCCAAAAAAACTTGTCAGGGTGAATGGCGGACGGCGACGCAGACGACCGAGTTGAGCGGCACGGCGCATTTGACGCACATATTGATAGATGGCGTACGGAGCAGCGTCGCAAGGTGTAGCCGATCAGCGAAAGAAAGGAGAGGACACGTAGACGAAATCAATCGGTAGCAAAAGTGCAGTCGTTATGCAGCCGCATATTTGTTTTTACTTCAAGTATTGGTCCATTACACAAAGATTATGTTAATTTTAGTAGACCGCGGTCGTCACAAGCAGTCTCGATAAGGAGGTAGCGCCATCTATTAGTATATGCACCAAATGCGTCCCACCACTCGACTCGGTCACCTGCATCGCCATCTGCTGTTGACCTTGGCAAGTTTTCTGGCTCTATTTTATAGAGAAAGGGAGCTACGCTTTGTAATTTTACATGAAAAAACCGACCTGTGAAATACGCTTTTGACGAAAAAGTTTCGATTGCTATGCACAGGGCCTATTTTTGCAGCCCATTTTAGATTGAGACAGGTTATTTCAGCCACCCTATATCTTCGGTATCATTAAAGCAGAATTCAGTTTTAGCACGATGTTGGAGCAAATTTCTCACACTTTGGTAAACTGTAGCAAAATGTAGCAGGGTAAGCACATTGGCACAGTCTGGCACAGCAATCACATCACTGTGTCAACAAATACGCAACTCTGTAGTGAAAAAATAATTGGGTGGAATCTTGACACCATATCCCGATGCTTCAAACAATAAATAAATTTGTGAAGGGTTTCAAGGTTGTGTTATTTGTTATCTCTTTATTTGAAAGCGATAGCTGTCTGTTCGGCTGTCTCCCGTCGTCGCAGCGCGCACGAAGAAGGGAAAAACCCTTCTCTCTCCTCTTGCCTTGAGGAGAGGGAACTCTGGACGTCCCATCGGCCGTGCCTCGCGCGGAAAGCCAAGAAGCCAGCCCAGGCGCCTTGCCAATAATTGGGTGTCGCAGGGAGAGTGTTCATGTTGTCTACTTCAAAAAAGTTATTTTCAAGCACTCCTCGCATTGTACGAAATCCCACTTTGGCAGTATCCAGTTGCTACGCGTAATCTTGGATGGTTTTAGAAACTTCCGCCACGCTTACCCACTTCACGAATCACTGGTGGCAGTCGTCAGTGGCATCTACGACACCAACCACGACAGCTATGAGAATTAACTACGTCGCACCTCCGTCCCCAGGTATGTGACGGTACCATTCCATCCACATTGCGCGACTGTGCTACAGCTACAGCTTTTGTTTTTTCGTGCACAGTGGGCGAAAAGTATGACTTTTTTAAAGCGATACGACGAATTGGGCACACTCCGTGAGCCGAAACACACGCAAACTTCCCCGACGCTGGCACGCCGTAACGTGCCACAAGCCTGCAGTATCCACCTTTCCTTCAACATCATGACCTTCTCTTTAAACATGATACGCTTTCGTTGCCCTCTCCTCGCCTGCAAAATCTGAGTGTGCTAACTGCTCAGATTTAACTTCCTCCGATTGGTGCAAAACACCTTGGCGAGGTGTTTCAGTGGATGATCAACAGGGCTAAGTTTTGATTTGGCTGAAGACTCAATGCCTTTAGAAGTTTAATTTCGGCTGGATGTTCAATCTGGCCGAACGCCCGTGCTTCTAGGAGCCGTTATGTGACACTATCTGCATGCCACATGGGGGAGTCAGTGTTGAAACTTCCATTGTCACACATCTTGGACAATTTAGTTGGAAGTTGCAATTGGGCTGAATGTTCAGTTCGGCTAAAAATGGGCTTCTACGACCGATATTTAAGCCCTTAGCTGCAGGCCAATCAGCAAACCAGTTGAGAGGCTTCCAGAGTCGCACAACTGGGTGTCTAGGGATGGCTAGACGTACATAGGGTGTCGGGTGCAGTGGGTGCCATGTGCCGCCATTGAAGCGTCTTCTCCAGCACGTCCAGGGGGTCGTCTATGTTGCTGAAACGCCTCACGTCTGACACAGTCTGACCCGAGGTCCCCAAGACCCTGTAAAAAGGTTCAATTGGCAAAGAGAAAAAGAGTTTAGTGTGTGAGACATTAAGGGGGGATTTTTTTTTATGCTTGTAATCTAAAAACGTAACACAACTTCCACGCTAAATTTATCAAGTAAATTGAATTGGCGTATGATTACATACCAATTAAGGTTTCCTCGCTAAACTTAACGGCGAAGCTTTTTTGTTACACTTAAGTTTTTCCCTTTTAGTGAGACATTTGTTTATGAAACCACAGCCCTACTACAATGCATTCTGCATAAAAGGACTAGGAAATGGATTTGATGCAGAAAACATGTGAACCACAAATGTCACTTAGTTGATCCTAACACAAGTGAAAGAAAAAATGTTCTCTTTGCCCCGATTATCACAATTGAGATATATCATCATAAATAAAAATTGAATTACTTTTTGACCAGAGGATGCATGGTTGTTAATAGCGGATGTTTTGTGATGCGAGACTGGGTAGATTGTAGTGAGCTAGCAAGTCATGAAATTATCTACGCAAAATAATAATAAAAGGGAAACATTTTGCTAATCCATGCCAGAGCGACGCCATCTAGTTGAAGTAGAAGGCACCATTCACGCACATTTCAAAACTAACTTGGTCCCACTTGTGGGTGAAGGTTTCGTTCACTGGCCCTCTAAAACATTCTTGCAGCATTGCTTCATCGAATGTTGGCTTTACCTCCACTGTCATGCGATTAAAGCAGAATAAACGTCAGCCAAACAAAAACAGAATGTTTCACAGTTTGGCTAACTAGTAGTACTCAAAATAAATACTTCACATTCACAAAGTATGGCAAAGAAATGATTACAAATGCACTGGCTTCCACTAAGAGGGCAGGAATCAGATTCCCATTCCTTTTTCTCTTCAAACCCTTTCCTCTTCAGCACCACCCCTTTATTAGAATTAATAAAGGATAGAGGTTAACGCAGTTAATGCAAAGGTGCTGGTTATGGACTGACATTTTTAACCCTGGAGGGTGGGGAAACAGAAGGAGAGGACAGCATGGATCGTGTTGTCGACTCCCTCTGTTCCACACTATCCAGGGCTAAAAATGTCAGGATGGAGGTGATAATTGTGTAAATTTCTAAATCTAACAATGGTCAGTGAAATATTGAGATAAACCAGGGGTATATTGGTGAGATGTCTAGGTAAACTGGGGGGAATACAGGTAAAGATATTTGGGGGAACTTGGGGAATATTGGTAAAATATTTAGGAAAACCTGGGGAACATTGGTCTAATATTTACGAAAACCCGGGAAGATTTGTAAAATATTTAGGGAACTCTGGGGAATTGTAGTAAAACATTGAAAACTTAGGCACTGTCTCAAGAAAAATAGAAAAAAGGATCTCCAAGGTGATAAATAACCTGCCTGCCAGGGTTTGTTCGCAAAGGGGCAGTAAGCCTTATCAGAAGTAACCAAACAAGAAAAGAAAATATCGACACATACCGGTAACGTAATCTCACGCGGGATGAGAGAACACATCCAGTTCCCTGCTGCTTTTTTTTTTTTATTTTTTTTATTCTTTCCCCTCTCTCCCTCCCTCCCTCCTTCCCTCTCCCCCCCCCCCCCCCCCCCCCCCCCCCCTTTTCCGAGATCATGTCAAGCGTGGGAGTCGGCAGATGTCACCTGATGCCCTTGTCCAGGTCGAACTGGTACGGGTTGGTGACGCAGCGCAGCGTCCCGCGCTGGGACGCCTCGGGAAACAGGCACTGGTGCAGGGGCTGCTGGGGCAGGAGGGCCCCCGAGGGGTCTGCTTCACCGGGCATCACGTCCACGTGCACCGACCGCTGCGGAAACAGACGCAAACCAACTTCTGTCAGAGAAAGTGGTGTCAAATATGAACATGCTTCTGGATTTTCCAAATTCTTCAGGTTTTCTGATATTATTATGACACCCGAGTTTTTCCTATTTTGCCACAATTCCCCAGGATTCCCCTCAAAATTTATCCAATATTCCCTGAGAAAACTTTATCTAGTATATTCCCTAAGAATCTCTCAAAATTTATGAATATTCCTTAGATCCCCTAATAACTTTGTAGCACGATTTTCAAAGTTTCTTAAATATTTTACAAATATTCCCCATGTTTCTCTTAATCTTATGTTAAGAATAAGAGAAACCTTAATTTTTTAAAACACAATTCCTTAAGTTCTCTAAATATTTTACCGATATTCCCCCGGCTTCCCTAAACGTTAACCAATATTTCATGTTTCTCTAAATATTATGTTAACTTCCTTGGTTTTTCCTGAATCTTTTAACAGAATTCCCAACGTTCCCTAGGTATTTTACAATTCTACAGGCGTGTTCTCATTTTTTTACAAATCCCCCAGGTTTTCTCTAAATAGTTTGTTAACAATCCTCTGGAGTTTTCCAAACTCTTTTATCAGAATTCCCCAACTAATGTAACGAAAAAACTTTCAGCCTTTCCACTCTGGTGAAGAAGGAAGAGCAGCGGAGCTGTACTATGTGCCGCTATCTACAAGCAACGGTGGCAAGCAAACAACTGGCAAGCCGGTTGTCTGGTTGCTGCCGTCGCTCATAGATGGCGGTAGCTGTCCAGAGAGTTGTGTCAAGATTTATTTGTCCACGGACACGAAACAGGGGAAACTAGGCCTTTACAGCTCCACTGTAAAAAACAAGGTCTAAAACAACCAATGCTGAAGTCGAACCAACTGTGCAAGTGAGCTGTTTGAGAACAGGCACTGTAACCCCGCAGCTCGAGGAGGGACAGCACAAACAAACCAATATTGATGACAATAATGCAGCATTCTAGATAAATAAGAACAGATTCGTGTTCAGAACTCCGCTGATCCTCGCATGGATACTTAGTAGTGATGGAAACGACCAGTAACAATATGCTAACAAGTTGCACTCAAGTTTCGCAAACAAGCGAGTCAACAAACCGTTGCAAAAAGGAAGCAATCATTCTCAAAAAGCCCTGCTGCTTGCACTACTGTATGCACTTCAAATTCCCTGAAATTTCTGGCTCTTGCAAAGATTTTTTTTTTTAAGCTCCTTAGAACTTTCCTTTATTCTTGCATTGTTTTCCCCATATTACCTGAAACACTTTTCAAACCCTTTGTTCTCAAAATGCCTCACACTTTAATTTCTTGGTAACTACATTCCCTCACAAAGCCTTGTCTTCCCTGCAGGTGGGCACCCTTGTAAAAGCCCACTCAGCCTCAACCTCAGGGTGTCATTATGAGCCAGACGAAAACCTCCCAAGGAAATCCTACAGATCCTACTCTTAGGAGGTGCACTGGGATCAGAAGGCTGCTACAAGCACTTACAATAGACTTTGGACTGCCCACCTCCTCTAACAGCAGAGAGCTATGATATGTAGGTGTAGGCAATTAAGTTGCGTGTAGGCGACTGATAATTGTGGCATGTTTTATGAAACAGACACGACCGAACAATCGTGCGACAGGTTGGGGGACAATGGAAACAGGAAAGCGTCCTCGTGCGACAAGATTTCGTTGGTCCTTACCGCCAGCTGCAACAGGAAAGCGTCGAGCAGACGAGTTGCCGCGCTGTCGGCAGATGACTCCTTTCGCATTGAGAATCTGGCCTGTAAATGCAACGCAATTCGCCGGTTAAAGGGGTAAGGACACGCCAAAAATAAAATATCATCTTGAAGGGGCATCTTGCGAGGACCCATTGTACGTTCCTATTTTCGATAAATTTATTTTGAAAATGGTGCGACAGTTTCGTGGATAAATCAATTTATATGCAAGACCTTTCGGATCCACGCCTATCTAAGATGCCGTCACAGTTGTTGGGTTGAAGACAACAATCACCCCACGCGCGACGTCCCCTTGCATGCACTCGCAGACTTGGTGCTCTTGGTGTCTCGGATTTCAGCTTCCACGTTTATCTTCCGTGTTTGGAGCATGCAGTTTAGGGATCATGACGTGGGGATTCCAACTACTGGTTCAGCTCAGAGAGCCCCGTGCTACAACTCCTACCCCGCAGCGCACTCACGCATCAAACATCGCAGCGGGTCTGTTCAGTGTAGCGTGGGGCAATCGACAATTGCCTGAGCCCCCGTAGCCATGCTGGCCAACGTGCGCAAGGCCATAAAGTCGGCGTAGCACGTCGGCATGGTGCGGAAGGACAAACAACCGTGCAACTCAAACAATCAATGGAAGGTGCGGCAACAATAGACAACTGCAGGCCCCACATTGGGCGCCATTTTCGAGTGCAGGACTGTCGAGGAGTCCCGGAGTGGACTTTGAGCGACGGGTCAAGTGGTGGCGTGAGCTCGTCCGACCGGCGATGACTCAATGCTAGCGCTTCCTTCGGGTCTGACGGTCGACGTTCCCTCCTCCGAGTGGATGTTCGTCTGGGGAGGGCTCTGGCTTGATCTCCTGTGACGACAAGCAGCGGCTTGAGTTCCGCCCACCGGCAATGGCCCCCCTCGCGATTCCCTTCGGCTCTCAGACCGATGAGCGCTGCGGGCACCCTGTGTCCTTTGCTCGCTAGACCGCAGTGCCTCGTTGGGGACTCCGGTTTCCCAATTAACGCTGTTGGATATCGGGATCATTGTTGATGGCATGGTGACGGTGAACCCAGTTCGGCAACCGCCCTTGGGGAATTGGCTGCGCGGTAGGTTGGGCGTTGGGTTCCCTTTGGCTGCCGGTCTCCGGACATAAAGGCACGTAATCCCCCCAACGTCTACAACATTGTTCGCTTAGTCGAAGCCTTCGACACTGGTCGCAGCAGCGATGAGAGTGATTGTTGTCAAGAGATGTTGGAAGCCGGCCATTCTGACCTTTACCCACTCGTGATCAGCTCCAGCGAAGACGACAATGAGGTTGTCAAGGACGAGCTCGCCGTCTTTTGCGACGAGCTTCGTATGGGCATGCAGGATGGAAGGTCAAAGGGTAAAGGGGCGAGAGTGAGAGTAACGTTGGACCAGGTGAGTAGTGCGACAGTGTGCAATTGAACCATGGTAAAGCAAGCTTGGGCGAGCATGGGGTCGCCCAGAATGAGAGAGCGTTGAACTGAATATGATGATCATGTGGGTTATGGGCACCATAGGGTGACTAACTTCAGCAGTGTTGCCTGGTTGCCAGACAAAAATTATCAACATTCATAACTTGATTATTGCAATTATTAGAGCTTTAAAAATTGCAAAGCTTGGTGTATATAGTAAGTAGCCTATGAGCATTCCATTTCAAGAATAATCTACCCATTTATTTTTCGTGTCCTAACCCCTTCAAGACTAGTACCCAAAGAGAACCGTAATGCTCAGGTGTGGCTACTACAGGGTGAGTCACTATAGTAAGGCTGCCAGTTGTAACCCAATTACGTTCATATGGTTTTAAAACCTGACTTTACCCTTGACAGTGACCTGTTGTGGAGCAGTGCAGCCACCCCAAACCTTTTGATCTCACTATAAGGCAATTAGAAACATTAAATAGGCTACGCTTCAGAGTCTTCAGAATAGCGTCCCTTCAGCTACACCGTTGCGTGCAATTAGTGTTGCCAGTTGACAACAACTTTCAGCGACACGGACGATAGAAACTGCACAAAGATCTTTAAATCACTGCGACTGCTAAAACAGCCTGCAAACCCAATATTTCCAAAGTTCCATAATACTGCACCTAAAACTCGGAGGGTATGACTCGGAGGGTCGCCGAGAGTACGACTCTAGGCGACAAAATGGGGGCACCCACAAGTCGCCGGTGACACACCATGTCGGCGCCTCGCAACGCCGGCAGAATTGGTGCAGCAGTCACTGACAAGACGAGAACGACAGGCAAGTCCTTCGGTCGTCTCTCCTCGAACACACGCTCCCAACTTCGATAATGCTGGGGTGACTCGTGAGCTTTAAGTATGCACGCACGGCAAAAGTCGGCAGAAGGCAGCGAGTGCGTGCTGTGGGCCGGCCATCCGAAAGAGGCACCCTGCCATTGCCATCCTGTTAGCGAGTATTGCGTAGCTCGGAACGAGGAGACGCTTCTCACCCGGGCCAGGTCCTTGGTGGACACCGTCTGGCGAAGGGTGTTTCCGGCGAGCACCACCCTGACGACGCGGGACGCACGCTCCTGGTCGGCATCGCACCCGAGGAAACCCGACAGGTAGTCCACGAGCAGCTGCAGCTGAAGCAGGTCGTCGGCGCCTTCCACCAGCCCCACACCCGACACCAGCACCAGGTACCTGCGCGGCAGTGAACTGGTGACACCCCAATCCGGGAGGTGGTTCCAATTCCTGGTCTTGAGAGTCCCCCACACAACCTATCGTACTTGGGTAAGACTTTCGTGGCACTAAAATCGAAGCTATGGGCACCGCCTATCTATGCCATGCAGGTGCCCTCTTTTCTTTCGAAATGATACAAAAAGTTGACCACGAGTATAGAACTAAAGGAGTTTGGGTTTTTTTACTTAAAGGGTTCCTCCGACGATATTTGAGCTTCTGCACTTTTTATGTTATCACCTCAGTAGTGGGTTAGGCTACTTGAGGAACAAGTACAGTGTAGACCGCATATAATGTATGCCGCGGGAGTCGCGAAAAGCCGCACTATAAGCGGTACCGCGCTATAACCAAAACATGAATTTTTCAGGCCAAAATGCATGCCATCTTTGTAAACTTACCTTTGTAAAAGAATTTATTTTATGTTAGATGAAAAATAAAGCTTAGTTCGAGGAAAGTCTTTATTTCACCAGACTAGTACACTTCTCTCTCAAGTCTGTCACATATTTTGAAAGAAATGAGCGACTTTTGCTTGGCGCAGCCTTTTAACGGCGTCGCGGGCTGCGGACGGACGTTGCAAGCGTTCAGGATTGCTAACCCTAATCACTTTTCTCCGGCGATGAAAACGCGTGAAAATTCACATCCTTTATACGGTACGTGCCAGTAATACCTTTAGCTTGAGCACAGGCATGAAATGCTTCGAATAAGAAATCCGGGCGATGTTCGAAAACACAAATGCTTAGAAAGCACCACTGCAGTCGAAGTAAAGAAACACGACGACACGGGCGTTTCTGCCGTCTTGAGAGTGCCGCCACAACATCGCCGCACGAGTAGGTGGATCTTCCCTTCTAGTACGTGCTGGGTTATCATAGCGACACACAACGAAAATTCACGGTCAAGGATAGCGCTTTTATGCAGAACGATGAGCTTCTACCACGCCGTCTACGTCGACGATCAAAACCGACGCCATGCTTGCGGATAGAAGCAGCCGGCCAGCCGGCCCACGACCGGCATGCAACGCGCACGAACACTTCTCCTTGACCTGCGATTGGTCTGTCATTGCGATTGTTTCCAACACAGCGGAGGGACGTACGCACGTGAACGACACGTGCTTGCATCCCTCCGTCGCCATGGCAACTGAAGCCTCTCTCTTCGCTTCTCCCCGCTTCTCCGAGCAACCTCCATGCCCCGCGAGTGCCGCTTGCGGCTCGCGCCGTTATCTAGTGTCGCACAGGGAAGCGTGCTCTCTGCGTCGGTCAGTCGGCGCGGTCGCCAGGCTGTTCCGAAAACCGCACTATAACCGGTATTTCCCTTCGCGCACCTGCATTGTAAGCGGTATGTAATTACATGGAGTTCTATGGGAGGCGAACCGGTGGTTTAAAAAAGCCGCGTTATACCCGGTCCTGCACTGTAAGCGGTTACGTTGTAAGTGGTCTATACTGTAGTAGCCACGAAACATTAACGCATCAAATTTTAGTTCAATCAGGTAAAAACAGCACAATGTCTGGCGGTGCTCCAGTGTGTTCAAAATGCGCAGGTGGTGACGTTTTATGGACGACTTTATGATTGCCAGCATTGGCAAGAGACGTCAGAATTCTTTTTATGCAGGCTAAATAAAGTGTGTCACTCCGTGAAATGTCGTAATTCTTTTAAAAAGTTGTTTTTATGTAGAAGATGTTTGAAATGTGCAGAAATAGAAAAAATGAAACACTTATCAAGACGCCTGTCTTCCAGCGGCAATGGCGACGGGACCAGGGAACGTTTTTTTTTTTTTATACCCGACGCTTCTATGAGCGTTTTATCAGCCCTATTTGGAAATCACCGTTTGGGGTGTTGGAATGGAACCTGTAAGACGCTCATTTCTGCAATTTTAATCTGGTGCTCTTGCCATGTGTCATGTGCTAGCTGTTATCACCGGTCATTTTTGGTGTCCTCGCATTTCTTTGCATTGGTTTCCAGATCGGTGGGCTCGATTAGACGAGTCCGTGCCTGCTACTACTAGCATTACCTCGAGAAGCCTTGTAGACCTAAAGTGTTGGGAGGCACTTGCCTGGAATGCCGGCAAAAGCTTGATGCTGGACGACGTGCAAAAGGTAGAGTTAATTGGAATTCAGGACGCCCTCATGTATAAGCTATGCATGCTCATGTGCTAGTCGTACGTGCCAGCAGCCATTCCTGTTCAAAACAACGAACGGCAAAAGTTGATTCAATTCGTCCAAACAAAGGCCAGCCGGAAAATTCGTGCCAAGCGACTTCAACTGGCACGGTATTGCTATCTTTTTCCGCCGACATTTGTCCGACATTCGGGAGAAAATAAACGCTTATTTGAACACTTTTTTTCCATTATTAGCTTCTTTTTTTAAACTATCGTGGTGCAGCTAACCCCCCGACCCGAATCACTGCTTCGATTACACCGATCGCGTTGGTACCAATCAGTGGAAGCAGAAAAAATGTGGAGCACAGTGCGCTAGACTGCTCTGGACTCAGTTTGGTTGGGCTCTTCTTAGCGCGGCGGGGACAGCGGGGTCAGGGGTAGTGGGCGACGTCGGCACAATCGCATTCTGAGCCTGAATCTAGGATGATGCAAGGGACTATAGAAACTATGGCAACAATGCATACCCGTCCTTGGTGCAACAGCAATGAACCTAACCCGCAACCAATTGGCCAGCCGCTTTGCTCCGATTCTCCAATCAATGAATCGCCCATAATACGCCACGGAGCTAAAATGTTTTGCTTGTTTTTGTTATCTTACTTTGCCTAGAGCTCCCAAAATGAATCGCATTTCCAGAAAAATGTTTCCGTGCCGTGTTCCTATGTCCGATGAGTTCCGTCTCAATGCAAATTCCAAACCAGTCCAAAAATCATAAAAAGGCCCCTCTAAGAGGGGACACTACCCTGAAAAAAAAAAAAGATTTCTGTAAAAAAGGTTGATTTTGAAAAATGCCCTATTTATGTCTGCCAACATCCAGAGTATTCCCAAAAAGTAGTTAATTTTTTTATAAATTATTTTCTGTCCACCGATGCTAAAGAAAAGGTAGTGGTTTGAGCACTTTGAATGCGTTTTTCTCCAATCCACTTTTTGGCATAAATCCCACCTTAATAAAACTATCGTTTCAGTATGAGACTATAGAGACTTAATATTTGCAGCTTATATTGCCACGGGCGCAGCTGAACAAGTAGGCAGCGTGCCCGTGGCCCAACGGTTGTCGCGCTTGACTTCCACGCAGAAGGCCAGGGTTCGATTCCTGGTCGCGTCTAGGCATTTTTGTTGACACTGTAACGTGATGTTCTGGTAAATTCGAGAACCGTCTTGCTGATTCGAGGTTAGAATGTTCTACGCACCAAACCTTCTACACGGAATGTTTCAGAAGCCCACGCGTGTACAAAAGGGGTTCCACGTGGCAAGCCGGAGTCTGTCTCGCCCCAGTGCTCGATCCTGCTGTTTCGCCAACATCGACGCCTGCGATAGCTTACTTCTGTTTTGTTTTGGGCACAAATTCACCCCATTAAACGTTTAGTTTTTCGCAGTTACTCTTCACCTCAACACTTGTCATTCGTGACAATATGCCAAAATATTAAGGAGCCGGTTACTATAAACTTAAATTTTAATTTTCATGTTCCTTTATTATGAAAAATTGTAATTTGCAAAACTTTGTAAATGTGAAAAAAAAAATTTTTTTTCTCAAATGTTTTTAGTATTTGGAAAATGCATATTTTCTGAAATTTCTTTTCATAGCAACTGGCAACAGGTATTCCAGTATGCATTCCACCAGAAAAATATGAGGTTATCAACACCATTTCTCAGCGATAGATTCATTCAGCAGATTCCATCCAAAGCTATGCCTTACCTCATTCTGGGGGAATAGTACCCAATAAAATAGGTTCACAGGGCTTTGCATGCCCTCCTTCTATACGGCTACAAACACCACCTGCAAATATCATGCCGATTGGGTGAGCGGTTTAAAAGTTGACATTCCCAGGTACTGTCCCCCTACATAATGGGACACTGACAGGGTATTGATGCTCGCCAAGGTTTTGATTTGTACATGACATATGAGAGCTCACAATTTGCGGCACAAAATTTGTTTTCTTTCTGCCCGAACAATGGAGGACTGGCCGGTTTGAGTTGCTCTCACTCTCTTCTCCGTGGTCACGTGCTGTTTTCTATGGTTTAGACACAACCACCAAGTGTAATCAGAGTCGTGGGTCATCAGACACATACTGATATATTAAAAACAGAAAAGGAATATGATACCCATATTTTGTAGCCTCTAAAAAACTGCAAATACGTTGAATGAAAAAAAAAAAAAAAGCTGCACAGCCACGTGATTTTTGCCAACTCCCTCCTCCTCTATACTGCTTCTTCCTCCCCAGACCAGTTTCTGTTTCGAGCAGTTACCGTTTTTGATTTTCATAAAAATATATGTAACGCTGTAGCAAAACGCTGATTGGGTAGTCTTAAGACATCATAGTGAATCGCCTGGCAAAAAATAAAAAATATATTTTGGGGGCGTCGTGTCCCTTTAAAGGGGCCATGAAATAATTTTTCAACTTCTTCCTTCTTAGCTTTCCTTAACTCACAAATCGTGCGGCATTAACAAACAGTTGAAGAGAATTGAAAGGAGGAACTCCCCTCTTGCTCGGACCCTTGTTCGTGTAGCCGGACGTCGCCACTCTCCCCCTAGAATTCGAACAAAAGTTGCCTTCCCCTAATCTAACAGTGCTGTAGAAGTTACGTGCTCGCTGGTCCAGCCACAATTTTATCTTTTGCCACAAGATCACGCTCCCTCGCGCAGAGAATTGGGTCAGGTGATAAAAGGGAGGTGGCTGATTGGTCCGGCAATCATGTAGCTCCCACCACATTGTCAGCTTAAAGAAACAATGAAGACGATTTTATTTAATTTTTTTAAATGGTGTTTTTATGCTTCTTGGGAACATAGCATGCTGCCCAATTTTTTGTAGCCATTTGTGACGCGTATTTCCGTGCCTACGAAAGAAGTAAAGAAACCGAAACTGAACAATCTCCATTCTTGTTTCTGGGCCTCCAAAAACGGAGGTGACGTCAAGTGTGAATAGTCGGTATCGGTAGTATTTAGGAGATTGAGATTCTGGTTACCGCGGTGGGTTATAGCAGCGCGGTGGTGTGCGGTGGCGCGGTCGTTTCGTCGAATCTGTCAACATGGACGGCAATGCCGCTCTCGCGAGCGAGTTCGAGCTTCCGTTCAGTAACCCAACACAAACGGAACGGGAGTATGTGTGTGGCGGCCTCCGCCGTCACCCGAGGGAGACCGCCCAGCCGGTAACGAGCGGCCCGCATGCCGTAGTGCCCATAGTTGCTCGTTGGCTGTTTCGCGTCCAGCGTAGCAAAGAAAAAACATTTAGGCTGCTTTATTTACGGTTTAGTAATCCTTTTCGGTCCGATTTATGCTTTTCATGGTTACTCAAGCGGAAATTAGAACAGTATGCCTAAAAACCGAGAACCAAAACGTGACCGAGGGCGCGTTTCTCGTTTCGACCAATCGCTGAGGCGTCTCTTGTGACGTCGCGCTTCTTGGCCTCGCATCGGTCACGTGAGCTCCGCTTCTCCCGCAACTCTCGGGGCGTCGCTCCAGTGGATTCCGGTATGATTATTACCGCGACTGTTTAATTGATTTGCGCGGCACACAAGCGCCGGTTTCGGCTGAAATTTGGGCAGCGTGGCCTGAGACGTGCTTGGAACCCAGTTCAATCGCCAAAAAGATGTCCGAAATTGCCTTCATTGTCCCTTTAAGGGTGAACGGAATATGGTGAGGCCGGGTGACATGCTTTGGATACTACAAGTGTATCACAGTGAAAATGCCGTTGAAGGAAAGGAGGTACGAAATGGATTGCTACGTTTTCAAATTTTTGTACCAAGAAGCAGGCTTTTTACTCTCTACCTTCTTTTCTTTTGGCCCACTAAACGATATGCTATAAGTAAAATCCCAATCTAAACTACCGTATTTATACGAATGTAGGTCGACCCTTTATTCAATTTTTGAAAATCTGAAGTGGGGGGGGTCGACTTTTAATCGAACCAAAGCATTCCACCACCGGCAAAAACGAAACAATTGCGATATCATGAACACCCCGGCTTGTTACGAGTTCAGCCGGCCGTGCCTCTAGCATTGCACTATTCTATGTGCTCATTTTACAAATTAATTATTTCTTTATTTGCGTGAACAACTATTATTGATAGCGATTCGCAAATTAACCCGAATATACGGCGGTGAACAGTGCACGGCGCGCCCTACTGCCGGGGGGGTGGTGGCACTTCTTGTAAGAGCCACTCTGGAGGCCGCTGGGACAACTGTGGCTGGAACAGAATCATGGCTCATTCACCCCGCGGCTTCTCTTCGCAGTTTTTCGCACGATTCACGGTAGCATATCGTTTGATCGAGTGACAAGATCATGCTGAAGCGCTAACTACGTTTTTTTTTGTATTGACACGCGTGATCCAGGCAGTTTAGGTTTTCGGTGCTCGTTTATGGCCATTCTTCACTCAAAGCAACCAACAACTGCGCTGTTGGACACAAGTTCGACCCGTCGGAGCGGTTGATGTTTCAGTGGAGTTCGCAGTGGCGCGGGATCTTAAACTGTGACGGCAAACAAAGAGGCTTCCGTAGGCCAAAGTCCGGTTCCGGAGTTGAAAGTCAGGCTTGCAACGTGCGCCGCAAAAGTGTGCAATCGGTCCCTACCTGTGACTTGCAACACGATCGCCGAGCAAGCGCGGAAGATGAAGATCCTGTCATTTGCGAAGTGCGAGATTTCGTTGGACGACGCCAACGACGTGCTTCGAGAACGTAGCAGTGATGACGACGAGACTGACATCACCAGTGCGGACGAGTCGTAGTCTAGTCCCGGACAGAGTGAGAACGACAGTGAGCAGCTTCAGTTGTCCCGCCTCCAGCGTGAACTTCCTAGTTTCGATAATGCCTGGCCATCTCACGCACCTCGCGCGTGCATGTGCAGCCAAAGCACGCCAAAAGGCATCGATCGCGTGTTGGAGGCTCGACTTTCGAAACAGATATTTCCGTTCTCCCGTGTCCACAGTAAAATGCGCATCTAAAGATTTTTTTTTTTTGCTGATGTGCAATGGGGGGGGGGAGGGGGGGTTGACTTACAATCGAGTCGACTTACAATCGTGTAAATACGGCAATTTATCCCAGCTCCAAATTTATTTTATGGCCCCTTTAAGAATATGAACAATCTGCTTGCACTAGAGTACAAGTTCAGGCAGTGAGAACATGAGCTAGCCCAACAGAGTGCCAGCCACAACAATAAAATTTCAGCATGCGTTGCCCTTCGGGCACTAAGCCGTGGACGGCAAGATCTGGATGAAGTGCCACAATTTTATAAACGAAAAAAAAGAGGGAGAGTATTGACAAACCACGTGTCTGCTTTAAGCTACCCATGTCGCTTTTGGTTTGGACGGCAGTTAGTGCTTGCTGGGCAAAACCCCAATTACCACAGCAAATGCCGTGGGGGCTTTTAAAATGTCGTGACAATCCTAGTCTCTGGACCAACATGCAGAGTAATGTCAGGAGCTAACTGCAGAAGCACAGGTCACGAATGCAACCGAAATTCCTCCTGGTGCCAAAAGTCACGACGGTCTGTTCCAACGTTACTTCCAAGCATGTCAGGGGCACCGGAAACAGGTTTCTTTGCTGCTCAGGCTAGTTCATATGACTGTCCCCCTGTATATGCTTTTGAAATGCACGTAAAGCAAAATTACTGCCCAAACAATGGTCCCAGTATCACCTCAAGTAACTTTAAGTACTTCAAAGCACTAGTTAGAATGGTTCACAAACATACATTCCTAGCTTGATCGAAGAGCCTGACATTTTAACCCCAAGGGAAAAAGACCCACAAACTTCTCGCCCTCTTGGTGAGAAGTTTGTGGTTGTTGTCATGGTAGCAGTTGTCACGGTTGTCATGGTAGCCAGTGATTGACAACGGGAAGATGGCATAAACGCTGCGGGACACTCGGCCAATCACAGCGTGAATCTCCAATGAATAGAGTGACCCGTCACTAAAGAGAAGTGGCTTAAAAAAAAAGTGGCGAAAGAAATACGCACTTGTCGGCCTCCAACGACGGCCGAGGCACCTGCTTGAGAAGACCAGCATAGCAGATGTCCTCCACAGCAAAGCGGCCGTCGTCTCCGACCCGACCCAGAACGGCGACCGGAATGCCTACATGGCGTAGAGCAAATGCACATGAAGAAGCAAAGCAGAGGTATGTTGTAACGGTGGTTACCCATGAGAAACCCCAGTGTACCTGGGCCCCAATTTAAAGAAATCACAGTTTAATGAGACAAAGTCAGGTTCCCATCTCACTCTCACGAGCTAGTGAGAGTTCTAACCAAAAGCCATCACGTGAATACAAGTTGTTATCCCACCCTAACCTTGTCCTAAAACTGTTTTGCAGTCCCTTTAACTACCCGAGTAAGTGAGTAGGTCGTTCTTCTTTCTTTGCCAGCAGTGGGCATCGAAGAACCAAAAGAAATGTGATCGATCTAATACGCCCGACAACGGCAAGCTTTGACCTTAAACATATGGTGCTTCTTCAGCTGCTCACTGCAGTATGCCAAGTGTTTTCAGACAACATTATTAGATGAATTCGGTTCTGCAAAAATGCTCCAGTAGGGGGCCCACGCTTGCAGATTAGGAGACACTATCGTTGTAGTTGGCTGGCCTTCTTCATACTTTCGGGTGACAAGCACTTTTCCAAACGCATGCAAAAGTGTATTTGCACTGTAATGTTTACAAGAATTGCTCGGCCTGTTAGTAACATGTTCCTTTGCAATGCTGTGGGTACCAAAATGCGTTTAAAATCCTTACCATCTAAGGTTGCGGGAAGGAGCGTCTCTGCACGCACAACAGACTCTATTTGTTTCACAATATTTTAAGGCACAGAACTGACTAGTATATGTCACTCTTGGCGAAAGTTTATTGCTATTAGACGACATATGCTGAACGTGCCAGCAGCGTCACTGCTCTAACGATTCCGACGCTGTTCTGAACGCTTTCTGTTGGACAGTGCCTACGGGAATCTGTTCCACAAGTGACATAACCTCCAGGAGTCGATCGAGAAAAGGAAATGTGGTTTTTCGACCCACGAGAATATGACACTAGTGATGGCGACAAAATGCTAAAGTTTGAGAACATGATACTACGTGGTTAAAAAAGTTAAGAGAAAAAAACATCCAAGTGCATTTACGCCATTGTGTAACATGCGTAAATAATAATAATAATAATAATAATAATAATAGTTTTATTTCTCATCAATGATGAAGGGGAGGCCGGAGAAAAAAGCTGCAAAGGAACAGCTTGATGAGTCTCCGGCCCTTTACAGTGGCAAGACAGACGGCAGCAAGAACAACGAACAAGTTATAAAACAGGGAAGGGAAATAAAGATTGAAATACAGTGGCTTGACAGTCATTCATGATTACATTTTTAGCAAGAACAGTAAATGCACGTTACACAATGCATTTACGCACATTTCACGCAGCTCGGCGCTCTCGCTATCGTTGAGGCATCGTTGTCGTTTCTGCACATCCTTCCGAGCACAAACTGAGGATTTTCATGCCATTTTAGCTTCCGCTACCGATTCCACTCCAGCGCCTGATTCATACTCCGTCTACGACAAGCGTCCTCGGCGCGCCGTAAGTGCAAGTTCTTCGGTCCCGCTACCAACATTCCGAGGTCTAGCCATGCAGTGTGCAGGTTCGTTTGTTTGGATGGTAGTGTGCTTGCACCGGCACGTCGGGGTTTTGGCTACACTCTCTGTCAAAGGGAAAATGGCGTCTCTTTTAAACACCCAGTCTCCAGCATGTGCTCGTTCCCTTTCGACGCAAGCACTGGCTGTGCGTGCTCACGCGAGGCACCAAGAGTTTTTGAGAGGGACGACCACGAAACTCCACGGCCGTCGCTGTAAAGCAAAATTTCTCTACGAACCGAGGTCCACCTCAGCCTAATATTCGTCAAACCAAGAAATGACATCAAGGGCACATGCAACATTTGTATTCATAGAACAAAAAAGGAAAATAACTTGTTAGAAACAAAGCTAACAATACCGTCTTTGTTGCTGACAGGATTTTTTCACCGCAATTAATGATGCAAGCACCCACAATTTAACTGTCTATCTCGACGAATATTAGGTGCAGGTGGACGTCGGCTTGTACCGAAATTTTGCTTTTCGCCCGCATCTTTTGATCCAGGCAATCTCGAACTTTTGCGTTTTGTCACCACTGCCACCGTCGGATTCTCACAGAGGTTCGGCTTTCTGCAATGCGTGGCGTAACTTTGCGGGCCGAAAAACGCCGTCTCATTTTCGCAATCGGGTCCAGTAGTAGCGCCACATTTAGCTATGGGGATCCAGGTTAGTTTCTAAGACATGGTTAGAGATATCGAGCTTCAAAAAAAGGGGTCCCGATGTGACAAGCACACAAGGCAGAGAAGGACCACGTGGACCCCGACGGCCAGCACCTGTTTCGTGGTGCCTTCAAAAGTTCTGCGGTCCCTGCTCACCCGTCACATGGGCCGCAACGTCGATGTTTCCGGAGAGGGGAAGGCGCTGTCGGTCGTCCTCTAGGACCAGAGAGTCCGAGTTGTCCGTCAGGTGAGTTCGCCGCGGCTGAGGGGCCACGTGATGCTGCGAGTGTTGGTCAACATGTTTGCTTTCTTGTGCGTTTACACGTGCCTCTCCAGTAATAGACACGTCATCTTTGAAAATACAACATTCAGTTCTGGGTGGATTAATAAGCAAGCAAGACAAGATGTAGTGGCTTCGCTGCCACGAATAAAAAGTAAGTGTGGAAAATATCTGCTCTCAACTTTCGTCGAAATGGGGAGAAAAACAAAAATGATCACAATTTTCACAGTCAGAGTATCAGTCAAACCTGTTTAAAAAGCCTGAAAAATAAGAAGATTGTTTATTTTATAGTGAAAGAGGTTTTGCCAAATTTTTAGGAGAGACCAAACACAACCTGCCTCTACTGTAGGTATGCTATGGCAGTGGTGGTGCAGTTTCCAACCAGGCATCTGTCGGAATACGCCTTTAGCTCAATTGTTCAAGCACCAAGGAGCACACTGCGAGCATAGCTACACGCACTGCACATTCTGGGGTTTGCAGCAGTAAATGCACTAAAGCAAAAATCTAAAACAAATCACGCTTTGCAAGTCTACTCACAAAGGCCCTAGATTGGTTATTTACTTGAAATTTTTTTTCTGTACAGATAAGGTGAGCGCAGGCAGTGGGTGTACCCACATTCCGAGCAGCTCTCGCGGCGCCTTGGCAAAGGGTCTATTTTTACGAAGAAATTTAGCGGCCCTGCAATGCTCCAACGGGATGCTACTGTCACCGTTTCCCCCAAACTCTTAGCATAGCTGTGTGTTCTGCATTTTTAAAGAGCCACTGAAAAGAAAAAAAAAAATTTTTTGAACACTCTGGTTGGGTGTCAAAAAATAAATTTTACGACGAAAATTTTTTTTTTTAGAGAAATATTGACGATGCGAGATTAATTTTAGATTATGCATGCAAAGTTCATGACGTCACGGAATGGTCATACACTGTTTGCACCTCAACAAGATGGTCATACACTCTCCACTTCAATGTGATGGCAAAGGCGATTCACCTGTCCTCCACACGCCCGAAATGCCGAGAAAACAAGTGGGAAGGAGGTGACTACTGTCTTAACCACGTCTTGCGCCGTCAATATTGCCCTAAAATGTTTTTCATTTTTTTGTGTAAGATTCATTTTTTGACAAGCGTGTCACAACCAGACTGTTCAAAAATTTTTTTTCTTTTCAGTGAGTTTTTAAGCCTTGTTAAAACCCCTCCCTTTGCTGTTTACAGCTCTAAATTCCTAGAAGGTATTAGCAGAATGCTATACAGGGTGATACAAGGAGACGCCAGGTTAAATCGACCGGAAAATTCGGTTTCTTAACCTATTGTGCTACGACTTTGTGCAGCATTGCCCACAGATGGTGAGTTTTTTTTGTAAAATTTGCAAATAGCGAACTTACCTGAGGAAAAAGTAAAGAAAGAAAAAGGCTTAGCTCCTATGGAAACGCAGCGACGCCACCGGTCTGCAAACAACACGGTGCCGTTTCGCACGGGAAACAAGAGATGGCACAAGCGGTCACGATGCCAACTGCCGCCAACAAACGAGCAGACGACGCCGAGAGCCGGCCCTTTAGCAGATAAGGAACCGCAGTTCCTTGCTGTTACCGCGCCTGTCTTTTTTGCTTCTGCGACTGTCGCCACCAGCGGAACGCGCGTCGCTTTTGAGTCGAAAAGATCATCTGCTAAAAAGGCCTGCTCTCGGCGCCGTATGCTCGTTCGTTGGCGGCATTTGTTGCGCCATCTCTTGAGTCCTGTGCGAAACAGTGTCGTGTTGTTTGCAGACCAGTGGCGTCGCTGCGTTTCCATACGAGCTAAGCCTTTTTCTTTCTTTACTTTTTCCTCAGGTAAGTTCGCTCTTTGCAAATTTTACAAAAAAAAAAAATGCACCATCTGTGGGCAACGCTGCACAAAGTTGTAGCGCAATAGGTTAAAAAACCGAATTTTCCGGTCGATTTAAAGAGCCTGGCGTCTCCTTGTATCACCCTGTAGATGTAGACAGTTTAAGAAATGCCGTGTGTTTCAAGTCCTAAACACCAACGAGATTGGGGCATTAGTCGGCAAGAATGCTGAAGAACGGAACGCAAACCAGGAAGTGTGAACGTAAGAAGTCGCACCCTGCATTTCTTCGGCAGTTCGACTATAGTCACCAAAGGGACTGGAAGGCATGAATTAACAAACGTTTGGACTGACTCCCACCTCTTCGCTGATCTCTTTGAGGATGCTCGGTTGGAGCTCCATGACCTTGAACAGCGTGCCCACCACGACGGATCTCTTGTCTTCCACGAGGTCACCCAGGCTCGTCACTTGGACCTTCTGTTTTCCTGTCGAACAAGGTGGACCGTTCAAAAACCGTCTGGAAGGTTACAACCGTTCTCGGGGAAGATTGAGGGGGCCTGTGGCGTTCTTGCAATGCGATGGTTAGAGGGACGCGTATGCGATAAAACAAGCTTTGCCCGGAAAAATTGTGTAAGTGCAATATTTACATTTTGAGGTGCAATTTCGAGTATGGAGTGATTCCGAAACGCGCTCCTACTTTGAGACGTCGGCCCCCAAAATGTTTCTTCCGGCGTTGCTGGAATGAGTGTGATGGCGTAAACATGTGTGCTACATTTCTGTCTTGTTTTTCGGGGAAAACTGTTTTTGTGACATGCCATACACTTAAAAAAAAAATTGGTTTTGTTTATTATTTAAAAAAATGAACATTGTGTCTAGAGTGCCGTCTGCAGTGTGTTCGAGTGTCATCCAATGGCACCTATGCTTGCGCATTTCAGGTGCCGTCAGAAAGTGTTAAGCACAAGAAGATCTCGCTAATTCCAACATGTGCCTGATGAGCTGCTGGCCACAATTTGTTCTAACATAATGCGCGAGCGAGACAAATGCCACAGGAGCGAGCAGCACACTTTCTTATGTATGTTTATGCCTGCACTGCACAGGCACACAATCACTTCAGGTATGCCAAAGTGGCACTCTCGAAGGTTGCAACTCTGATTTAAAATAAACTGAGTTTAAATTTCATGTTCTCCAGTGGCGTATAAATATTTGTAAGGCCATAGACTATCAGTCGGGCGTGCTAAACATTACGCTATTGAAATGAGCCAGGGAGGTTATCCTTTGGTTTTCAGATATTGCTTGTTATGAAGGAAATTGCATGGGACCTGCTGAAGAAGCTCCTCCCACCTCTCTCCAATATAGCAGAGTGAACGTTGGAGAGGAGGTGACCACCTCTCCAGCATTCGCTCTGCTAAAGTGAAGAGATAAATGGGAGGAGCTTCCACTTTGCTCTTAACCTGTAACCAACTATCACACCTTTTATTGCCCTGACAGGCAAGAGATCTTCACAATCTTTGGCAATAATTTACTCATTCGCACATTCGACAAAATCATGGATCAGAGCATTAGGCACTAGTACACTGCTGCAGCCTTACAAACAGAAATCAAATTATTGCTTTAGGCTGGCTTCCATATGGAATGACAAAAACTTTGAAAGCTTCTGGCCGGCACAGTGGCGTAGCACAGAATTTTTGTTTGAAGTAACGGGAGGGGGAGCGTTGGCTATAAAGCTGGGCGTGAAGAATAATTCCACTGTCAAACCCCCCCTCCCCCTTCTTTCCTTCGTTAAATATGCTCCTAGGCTGATACCATATGCATAGTTTTTACAGATGTCACTGCTTTTATCGGATAAGTTGGCGCCATCGCCAGGTACTGACATGGTTTCAATTTCAGGACGCCGCCAGCAACACTGGCCGCTGCTGCAATGTTTTCTATGCGTGTTTCTTTCTTTCCTGTGATGTGAACTTGCGGTCATAGTGATGCAGTAATGCCAGTTTGCGCGATGTTCGGTTGCCGCAGCAGAAGTCAGTAACACAACGCAAAATATAAGGTTGTATTTTTTTGCCGAAAGTGATAACCAACAGTTTGAGCGCACAAAACTCCTGTCCGAGGGACACCGGAGCTTCTTGCTTGCTTGCATACACCGGAAAGATTCGAAGAATCTCGACAAGAATCGTGTCTGTGGTCTTTCCTTCATTGCCGGTAAAGAATACATGTGCCATCCATAATACATAGATTGATGAAACTTTAAAGGGGCCCTGCAATCATATTTAAGCGTCTACCTTTTTTGCGGTTTCCACGCTTCTTGGGGTTCGGGCAAGCCAGCGGGCACGGAGAGAGTAACTAAATATTAGTGCGTCCTATTTTAACCGGACAAGGCGGAAACCTCCTTCACCGACGGGGGCGACCCGCGGTACCGAAAGCGCGCAAAATGTGACGTCTTAGGTCCTGGGCTTACTACTGGTCAGAGCCGCTAAAAGCTGCTTTTTATTAGAAGTACAAAATATAAGTGGCGCGAACCGTTTCAGTTATTTATAAAAGTAGTTTTTGTTCAGTATTTTAGATCAGACAAGAAACAAATGCAGTTTTTAAAGTACAGAAACAAGAAATGACCCGTCGACATACCCGCCACCAAGCGGTAAAAAAGGCGACGCATACTAGAAAGGAGTAGTGGGATCAGCCGCCGACACGGAAAGGTCCCGGATGTACGCGGCGGCGCTGCGGTCGTTTACGGACTGGAGGATCCTACCGGCTCCGAGCGTTCCGAAGGCCTTCGGCGAGAAGTCTTGCCTTGCGGTTTGGCCGTTTCGCGGTATGGCAGCGCGAAGTGGCTCCCATTCTGAACTGATCTTTACCCCGTGTTTGCTGTCGTTGTGGCCAATGAAGTGTCATGCCGAATTAGTCTTTAATCGCGCAGCAAATGCAATGAGAGCCGCTCTGGCTGCCCGCCGCATACAGCCTATCCAGAACATGAGTTAGTGGCGCCCTCTTGTGGCGTCGACACGGAGTGCGGCAGCCGTGAGCGCTCGCGATGGGCCCACTACCCCTCCTCCAATTCACGGCCGCTCAAGCAACCAAGGACGTCATGGGGGAGGTTATTTTTTGCTTGTTTTTGTAATTCTAATTTGCCTTTAACTTTTAAAATAAAGCGAATTTCGAGAAAATAAAAATTTCACTAAGTTACTACGTCCAGTGAGCTCAGGTTCGGCGCAAATTAAAGACCAGTAAAAAGTCCTTGCAGGGCCCCTTTAAGCCGGGGTGACACTGCTTTACTGCCAGACCATACGAAAGACAGTCTGGCAGACATCAGTCACTGAGGTATCCGTGGTATGAATGCTGCGTGCCGAGTCTCTCCTTGAACTCGTTGCCACGCGACACTCAAAGCATGGATCTCACGGTGACTTGTGTTCAAACCTTTGTTCATACTCTGTGCACCTTGCCACCACGGCTAAGGCAGCTTTACAGTACCTGACAATGTCATGCTGCAGGCATTGAGAAACCTCGTACGGGAGTACCGACACTGAGCCGCCGCTGCACTCTGCGTTTACCTTTGTCACCGAGCTTCCTCTCTGTGGCGTTAGTAGCCCCTTGTGTTGATAGTGTTTTGGCGGCGGCGCAAGTTTGTACAGCTCAGATGATGCAACCTTTAATGAGTGAAGTACAAGCACATCTTTGAATGGGCGAACCTTTGACTCTTATGGACGATACAAACCCCGACTGACTGGGTGTACCAGGCGTCTGGGCTACGAATGCAGTGAACAACCTCCCTCCTTTACGAGCCTTGCCGGTTTGCATTGTACATTTCATGAATCTCATGAGTCAAATGGTCCGTTCAGGGATCCTGCATTTCGTATGGAAACTTTGTGTCGTAGTCATACACGTGGATGCTGTAACAAAGGCACGATACATATGCCGCAGCGATGTCGTAATCGAGCAGCGCACGAGCGGAGGAGGCGTCCGCTTTTCAGTACCTGGTAATGGCGGCCAGAGGGCGGGAGTAGGGGAAGTGACGTCACGTGAAAATTATGTATTCAGTGATCATCCTGTCAGGGACTCTGTGTGGGACTCGAAACCAATCACACGAACACAAATAAAAAGGCACGTAATTAGACTCACTCACCCCACTTTTGCTCGGCGCGTTGTCTCAGAACAGGCAGCATGGATTTGTAGCGCGCACAGTAGAAGGAAGCGTACTGTCGGTTGAAGGTCCGATCGTTGAGCAGGAAGTTGTCGCTGCGATCTAGGTAGTCGCAGCTTGGTCGCGTAAACTGGACCTCTGTGAGTTTGCCATCGACGGCCATGGGCATCTTCATGGAGTTGCGGATTCGATATGAACAATATAACTAGGAACACGATTACAACTTGGACTGGAAATTAGCGGATAGTGATGCCGCGAGCGCTACAATGCGATCATGCTACAGAGGCTAGAAAGGGTTCATGCGCTCATTCGCGGAATTCGCGCCACTGCTGCCATTTTTGATTACCAGTGTTGCTGGCTGGCAAACTAAAAACCACCAATCATAAAAAAAAAAAAAAAAGAAATGCAGCTTTTTACTTATGAAATGAATAGTACGTATTATAAAAGTTGCATACGATTAGTATTTTTTTATTTTTAAAATAATAATGTTCACCAAACTTGCAAAATGTTTAATATTAAAATTAAAAAAAAAAGAAAGAAATGATGTAATGGAGCGCGCGCGACTTTTGATTGAATTCGAAGTCGCCACCGTTTGCGGAAGACCAAAATTCCGTAATATGAAGTCTAGAGCCGAAAAATTCTCATCCGATTTGATTGTCTAAGCACTACAAGGGGACTACAGCAATGCCAAAACTGTGACGTTGGCGAGTTCCCGGCCCCGACAGGTTCTGCATCGAGCTCATCCAGCTCATCCATGGAACCAGAAGTGCCAGAAGCACACCAATCAGACAGTACCGACTCCCACGGACACAACGTCAAATGCAAGAAGGCCCTTCGCGTGGCCAAGTCCGAAAATAGCGTGGCTGTGACGGACCGCGTCGTGGCCAGAATTCACCGTAACCAGGCCCACACCCACTCCGTCCGGGACCTAATGGACGTGGTCAAGTCCAACGAAGACAGCCCCACGAAAAAGGGTCAGAAGGTCGCCGAAGTTGTTGCACGAGTCTCCTTGTCGCAGACTAAGGTCCACAAGAGGGGGATCTTTCCCGGCCTGCCAATAGAGGCCATCGAGAGGTCGGTGCCTCTCCTGACGTTGACTTTTGTCGTAGGTGCTTTCGTCCTCGCCACGGTCTTGCTTGGACGTTCTGGTACCGTTCACGAGGATGTCTGACCGTGATAATCGGTTTTACTTGTGTTATTTGCGTGAAATAGCTATCTAACTCGAAAGACGTCATTAAAACTGTGTGGCGGTCCTGCATTTTATCCTTGCATCATCCACGGAGGTGTAGCCGAGAGAAAGGGAGGGTCGGTGTTGAGCTACAGTTGCGTATAGTTAGGGAACCTATGAAGCTGAAGCGCTCCCTCCCCCCGAAATGCAGCCAACCCTATTATATAGATATGAAGGACGCGCATATGTATATGTTGTTGACAGACATGCCCCTCTCCCCACATATGCAAAAAAATGCACGACTACGCCACTGTTGGTTTAAAAGCCTGAATAAATTATTTTGGTATTACCCTGCCTCTTTATAAACAAAAAGGCACAGATATCTGTCATGGTAGATTTAAATGTTAAGAAGTTCATGCTAGTTCTGGTATTGCTGTGACAAATGCACACAGCAGACACCGCGACACACTCAGGGACACCAAATACGCAAAAAAAATTCAGCTATGCCACTGTTCGTTTAAAAGCCTGAATAAATTATTTTGCATTACCCTGCACCTTTATAAACAAAACATCATAAATATATCTCACCGTAGATTTAAATATTACGAAGTTCATGCTAATTATGTTATTGCTGACAAATGCACGAAGCAGACGATGCGAAACACTCGCAGCAACATAGCTTGGTCTGGTAATATGACAGTACAAAGGCTCCAATTCGACTTAAAGGGCAACTCCGGTCCATACTTTCGATTTTGGGATTATGATAGTTTTTAGTGCTGTCAGCGTCTCTGAATTGCACGGTGTAATTTCTTTCTCGTTATTGTGTGTAGTTTTAAAGATATGACGCCTCAAAGTTTTGTTTGGGGCACGGCCAACAAAACCGAAACTAGCCGCTCGAGGCCCCGGCAACACTGGAAATCAGCCGCAATGTGAACGTGACGTCATGATCGTTCCCGTTCAACAAGTACGCAGGCCGAGCGGCGCTTAACTCTGTTGCGCTAGCCGTCTAAAGATAGGAGGTAAGCTGATTTTATTTTAATTCTGTATACGTGGTAGTTATCCAGCATATGTAGCAAGAGTTAGTGCGTATGCCCAAAAGCTAGAGACTGGAAAACCCGTGAACTCGTTCGGTGCCGTGCTCGGTGGCCGCCGCCGTGCGTGCGCTATGCCGTATACTCGTCGCTTGTATACCCAGAAGCTAGCGACTCGAAAACGAGTGAACTCGCTCGGTGCCGTACTCGGTAGCTGTCGCCGTGCGTACGGTCTTCCGTACTCGTCGCTAGGCCTAAATTGTCATCGGGGCTCCGTGGATGGAGCGGCGTTGCTCTACGCCGCGCTGCCAGTGACGTACAGTACTCGGGGCCCTCTCGCTTTCCCGCTGCGGGTCAGTCCCAGACACGAAGCTTTGAGGCTCTCCGGCGTGGGCCGCGGCGCCCGAACACACGTGTGCTGGGCTGTACACGTCTGTGTTTTCGTTCTTTTTTCTTCAGGCGCGTAAAAGCCGAAGTCCAAAGTCCACTCGTCGAACAGCGTTCACCCACACCTTCTCCAATTTCCGGTCCGTTGGAAACTTGTGAAAAGCACCTCCGGGTTGCGCAGCGGGTTGTGTGAGCAGCCCACAGCGCTACAAGTTGTACTCGGCATCTTTCAAGGAACAGCTGGGCAGTCTTTGGCGTACCGAGTTGCTCGCTAAAACGAGTCTTGGAGTCCTCACAAGCAAATAAACAAACGGCTATACCGAAGCTACACGGGCTACAGATAAAAGCAACGGCTAAACACGCCAATCACAAGCCGAAGGAGTGGTGGTAGCGCCTCAAAGAAGCGCACTCCGCGCTACGCCCGGACCGGAGAAAAAAAAAAAAGAGAACGATATTGACGTCACGGCCCATGGTATCCTATAGGCTGCATGGTATCCTATAGAGGTGCCACTGTCTGTCGTCTTTCGCAACTATTTCCACGGGCTTTCGAAGGAATTTCCAGCACTAGCCTTTATCGTATTTGCTGTTACTACGTAGGGTCTTCGAACAGGACTGCGCGAATAGTTAGAAAAATGCATCCACTCACCAGCTCTGGTAGTAACCAGAGTGGATAGATTCTTATTTATCCACTGAGCACCAGCTATCGATATGTCTGGGCACCAGGGCGCACAGATAAATTTTTAATTATACACTGGGCGCCAGCGCACAGATAAAATTAATGAGGTGCACCCAAAGATTCCGGAGGCGATGGTACTTGCTTTTCCCAAGAGCTCGGGAGAGGGGGGCTCCCGAGCTCCCCCTGTACCTCTACATTCTCCAACATGAGGTCATGATTTTGATGAGCTTCGATATCTTCAGGATGACTCAGTATCTTGAGCTGGGCCACAAGACCTTTCAATTTTTCTGCGGTAAAAAAAAAGAGGCCTCTTAGCACTTCCTCATTGAAGAGACGGAGTGCTGAGCCAACCCTCATCTCTTAATTCAAAGCCGTTAAAAAAAAAAAAATTCTGATGTGAAGCCATAACCTTCAATGTCACATTTTCACAGACACTTCTCCAATCCTTTCTAATGTGGTCAGCGTGCACAGGACCCTTCGGTGTGTCGAAACCAGTGTCTATAAAACCGATCCAGCAGATACTTTACAAAGTGCGAAAAGTCCGAAAAAAAAATATAGAGGACGACTGTCATGACTGCCTGCATTACATGAAGCAGAGTCTCCCTGTCACTCCTGTTAATGTTGCGGGATCACGACTCACGCCGATCGAACTCGAGAAAGCACGAAGAAGGGAACGGGCTTTTTTTGCAGGACCGGCAGCCACTGTTGCAACCCGGCACGAGCCCCAGGAATTGAAATTAGGGGGAGGGGGGGGGGGGGGGGGGGGTCGAGGGGCATTGAGAATATAAGAGTTGTTGTGAATTAAGGGGGTTCCTTCGGAAAAACAAGGGGGGGAGTACACCCCCGTTGGGGGATGTAGGAAAATCACTGCCCCGGCACAAAACACGTCCCGTGTCTCTTGTCCCGCCGTTTTTCCGTCATTGCACGCGTTGCCTACATGCCACTGAACGGCACCGATCGCAATCCATTTCACTCAATCATTTAAAAAAAAAAACGAAAAAAAACACTGCAGCAAAACAAAGCGACGACGCGAATCGCGCGATCGCAAGACGGCACAACACGGCAATCCGAGCGAGAAGGAGCACGGATGGATGGATGGATGAATACGGCTGAGCCCTTTGGATCGGGCGGTAGCTTACGCCACCTAGCCATTTTGTTTTACCATTTAAGCTTAGAATATTTAAATGTGAAATCTATATTCACTCCGCAGTGCAAAGAAAGTGAGGCTATGAAACCCCCTTGCCATCAGTGGATAAGAAAATACCTAGTTTTCTCTCGATTTCTGCCACCATTCACTTAATCTTTGCTTGGTAATCTCTACAGTCTTGAAATCCACTCTCCCTTCGCTGTCTCTAAAACCCAATGACTTTATTAAATCTATGTTGTCTTCGGTAGGCATAGGGTGAAGCCCTTTACGGTAGAGTATCAAGTGCTCAGCCGTCTCGTCCTCCTCTCCACAAGCAGTGCACACTGTATCAATTTCCTGGTACTTCACTCTGTATGTTCTGGTTCGCAGAACACCCGTTCTTGCCTCAAACAGCAATGAGCTTCCCCTAGAATTGTCATAAATACTTTCTTTGGCAATAACTCTTTTGTTTAATCTATAGCTTTCCAGAGCCGTCTTTGTCTGCATTCCCTCTAGCCACCAATCTCTTTCTGTGGCCTTAACTTTCTTCTTAACTGAGACTTGCTCTTCCGTATCTTCGCTATAGCCCAAAAACTTTCCTCTTAATTTCCTAGTGCGCTGTCTCCACTTTGTGTCTACACTCCTCATGTATAAATAGCTGAAAACCTTTCGTGCCCATTGCTCCCCATCCATTTGCCTCAACCTATCCTCAAATTCTACCTTGCTCACCGCTTCCCTGCTCTGAAATGATGCCCATCCCATGTCTCCTTGTACTCCCTGGTTTGGCGTTTTGCAATGTGCCCCCAAAGCCAGTCTACCTACTCCGCGCTGTTTTATTTCTAGTCTCGCATGCACTTCGGATTTCATGCATAGCACTGCGTTTCCAAAAGTCAAGCCAGGCACCATGACCCCTTTCCAAATCTCTCTCACCACCCCATACCTGTTGTAATTCCAAAGTGCTCTATTTTTCAT